CCCCAAAACCCCAAAACCCCAAAACCCCAAAACCCCAAAACCCCTAAGAGGAGTCAGGGAGTTGATTTGTTAATAAATTAAATTTTTTACAACTCCAAGTAAGTTCCCTCCCCTTCCTCCAACCACTCACTCTACAGCCACAGTAACCCCAATGATAAACCAAATAGAGCCTGACCTGACTGGGCTAGGCCAAGTCGTAGCCTGGGTAGTTGAGATGCATGGTAAGTGCAGAGAGTTGGCAAGACAAAGGAATGTAGTGGGATACTCCGCCTCTAAAAACCTCTTCATCGATGATTTATAAATTTTATCGTCAAATGACCATTCTGCAAATAATATCTGACTAATGCTGTTCAAATCTAATTCTGAAGAAAGGATTTACAATAAGCTGCTTGAGATTTTTTCATAAAAGTTGGACTCTTTAACGTCGGCCAAAATACTGGAATTAACGTTTTAAATTTTTATTTAGTAACCGAGATTGATGAAGAACCTACAGAGCCACTTTTTGCAGTGAATCAGAATTATCCTCAACAAGTAGTGATGGATCAAGTGTATCCTTCGATTATGGATCAGTTTTGCTTATGACAGGAGCCTAATGTAGAAAAAGAAAATACTTCACTTCCATCTCTGAATGATATCAACTTACTTTTGAACAATAGTACCGATCGTGATCAGGTGTTCAATCATGCCGACTCTCTGAATCTTCCGGAAGAGCCTCTTAAGGTAAGATTTGAAGCAATTTATTAATCTTCATAATCAGAGGTTGTCTTTTCATCAAAGAAAAGTCTCAAGGCTTTATTAAAGTTCTCATAAGCTCTATCTAGCTTTTCTAATTTAATTTAAATTTAGAAATTAAACCAAGATAAGCTAGTGTCTTTTCCAAAACAGTTTTTGAGAAGTGATAAACCTTCTGAGAGTGAAGGAATCGTTCATGGTAATATTATTTGGCCTCATTTGACCTCATCTGATTCATTGTTATTATCGTAACTAACCTTAATAACTCATAAAATTAGATAAAGAAGACAACCCTATGTATTCTGTCAGAAAACTAAAGAAAGTTATTCAAAAGACTCAGGCTCAGTACCACTACACCTGCTTAATGGGCACTTGTAAAAGAAAATTTAACAAGTTTGATGACTTAAAGACTCATCTTGTACTTCATAACAAGTTTAAACCATTTAAATGCCCAAACTGCCCTAAACGCTACACTCAGAAAGGAAATATGACTAAGCACATGAGAAGCCATTTTACTCCAAATATTGAGAATAGAAGAAGGTTCGTCTGTGAATTCTGTCACAAAGGATACACTGAGAAGTACAACCTAAAGGTAAGAATCTTAATAATTTAGTTAATCATGCAGACTCACCAGAAAAAGTTCCACCTCAGGGAGTAGAGGCAGAGACGTAGTCTCAAAGGATTAGGAGCATAATAATTCTTTATAAGTGTTTGCACACATATATCTGTTAAAAATCATTCCTCATCGAGTTTTTCGGCAGTGTTAGATAATAAAATTTTTCAAAGGATTACCTTTTATTAATAATAGCTTTCATTTCTTAAAAGAAAAATCGAAATTTTAGTGAAGCAATATTAGAAATCGGCTGACTCCCAAATAGATGATTGTGCTATAAAGTTCAGCTCCAGAAAGAGTCTATGAGAAGTGCTGTGAAGTGTAAAATGGGCAGCTGTGACAAGAAATATTTCTGAAAACCTCCTATAAATCGGTTCTTTTACTATAATAATACAGAAAACTAGCTTCTCATCATTAAAATTTTCTTTATTCTTGAATAAAGCTAGTCTTGGTCAGAAAGCTTTTATGATGCTTACATAATTTGTTGGGTCTGCATCCGAATTGATCCAAAATGAGTATTTATCTTGTACATAATTATGACTTGCCAAAATCTCTGCAATTTAATAAGACATTTTTATTTTTCCAAATTTTAGGACTGGTTGAGCACTAGAACTCTAAATCTGCTAGCATTATTTTCCTGGGCATTAAAATACTATACCACAATTTTTCTACATCCTAACTTCTTAAACTATCATTATAAAATGAGTCTAAAACCCTGCATTAGTCTTCTTTCAAGCCAATTTTTACTAAAAATCTGAGAACAAGGCCCAGTCTAGCCCCATCTTGTACTTCATGAAGATGAGAAAGTGGGCAGCTCCTTTCTGTTTGATTTTAGGAATAATAGAAATTAAAATAGCTCTTATGTTTCCTAGTATTATTAATAAAAATCGATTTTAGAAATTTAGGTGACTACTGATGAGTTTCCTAATATTCAAAATTTCTGAAAAATATCGAAATTTCACAGGTTATGAAAATTTAAATCTAACTGCATTCGTCAGAGATGGGGTGAATAGAAAGAATGCAGGGTTATGATGAGGTTATGAATAATCTTGGGCCTTCTCATCATTTATGAGACTCCTTTTTAACACCCAGTAGTGGTTATATAGTACCATAATCCCAATATTTTGGTCAACACCTTTTGACCTGAAATACTCGATCGAATTATAGTAGCATAACTGCGAAGAAGCCGACAAAGATTTCTAAGTCACAGACCAGAGATCACGGTAAAGTTTGGCAAGGTGTTTATCTTGATCAACAAGGACATATTCTTACTATGATTTACCTTTGAAATCTTCTTGGTCTGCAATAAAGTAAAGAAAAAGCTGCTTTGTAATTTAAAAGGTCAGAAGCGAATCGGACTCGGAGGCTTTAGCATTATTTATCATACGATTGAGACAACCTAAGCATCTATTGAACAAACCTCTTTGTTCACGAGGATGCTCTAGAACATAACTTAATTTTATCGATTTTAAGGCAACTTATTTAGATTATCAGATTTGATGAAGATTGGTCAGAACCGGGTCACCTAAAAATGTCTAGGGTTTCGACACTTCAGAGTACATTCCATGATTCTATGCCAAGTATAGGATATGGCGGGAATTGTAGCCACCAGAGATCTTGTTAAAGCTCTTCCTTTATTTTGATTCCAGGATGAAAGAGTCAAGTTCGAAGATAAATTTTAAGTTTGTGAGGGTGGATTAGAAAATTAGAAAAATATTTGAAATCTAAGTTGCTGATGAAGTAAAATATTAAGAATAATTCTTAAGACTGATATTTTGGGGGAAAAGCATCTTTGGTTGATAGATAGCATGATAGGGTGAATTATAATATGGTTGATACTAAGTTCGACTGTCTCAAAAGGTATCTTCCTTTAAATACTTCGAACTTTCGTTTTGAGAAATAAACCATCACCAAATTGCTAAATTCTTAAAATTAACAATATTAATTTTATCTAACCAAGAGCCATCGTAACTCTTATCACTACAATTAAACCTCCCAATTCAACTCAAGAGGGAACTACAAAGCTCTAACCCCTGATCAAACCCTCACTATTAGCACCAATAGCTTGAATGGGAGTTTTGGGCATGGTGGAGGAGGAATAATGGGGATGGGGGTGTTAGTGGGAGGGTAGGGGGAATTTAGTGGGGAATAGGGGATTTGAGAGGGTTATTTGGAAGGTTTGGGGAGATTTGATGGGATTTGGATGGGATTTTAAGGGGATTGGGAGGGATGAAGTCATTTAGGAGATGTAGAAGGGAGAGAAGGTATACTTATAGCAATACTACCAATAAAACCCAAGAGAAACAATACAACACTTCCATTTCCATCCCAAAACTCCCAACTATCTACATTCCATATTATATCCAACCATAAAATTTCATATTGGGGTTTTGGGGTTTTGGGGTTTTGGGG